GTAAGTAACCATCTCTTGTCTGACACATCAGAGTTTTCAGTCGCATTGATATTTCCCTGTTCCGCTTGGAGACACACGGTTAAACAATACTCCCGTGCAAGAAGTTAAGATGTAACTTATTAACTTTTACAAACTTTTACTATTTTTATCATCCAATTACAGGTCGGAGCCATTCCTGTATTTAGTCGCTAGTCAGTTCTTTGACATCCGCCATTATGGAAATCAACCTCGTGTTTTACAGGAAAAATGTCCACCTAACATGAAGCGTTGAACATATGTATCTACAGCCGCTGACCAAAATTACGTACGGTCGGAAATCTCGACCATCGTATATAAAATCTCGATTGCGGTATAAAGTTTAGAATATTCTCGATTATTGCTAATAATTCTCGACTACCGCTTATAAATCTCAATTGTACTTCATTTATTCCGACTACCAAATAGAGTTATTCTCGAGTATCGCATTGTCTTTTAGATTATCGTGTATACAACTCAACTATCGCGTGTCAAACTCGATACGCTTTTGTCCGCTTTGGCTTGCCATAGGCTTCGCCTGCTTGTGTGCCATCGAGGCAATTCAAAAATACGAGGATATCTGAAACCTAAACATCAATTCCGAATGGCTGGCAGGAAATGAAAACACTGACTCGTACGCCACCATTACGCATAACAGCGACCTTTAGATGCCGCAGATTTTGTAACATCTTCGTCTCCTTTGCTACGATCTTCAGATTTGGGTCTCCCGGCGCCGCCAAAAAACAAAACAAATCGCTCCGCGTTACCATGGTTCTCTTTGAAATGTCGTAAACAAATTTTTGTGGTCAGGGTTTTCTCGGAAAACGGTTTCCTCGACAAAGATGCCGCATATTTGTAACACCTTCGTCTCATAAGCATTTTCGAGGCCTCGACATAGAAGTTGTCGAAAAATTTTTTCCACATTTGGCTAATGGTTTTGAGAAGCAGATGATCCAAGCGCGGAAATATTCGTCACGCAATGCCTCGCGTGATAGCACAACGCATTATGTCAATCAAATTGTGTTGAAGACATGTTTCTCTAAGCGCGAGAATGAATATAGCAAACAAGGGAGAAGAATGTTTAAAGAGTCTAGATGACGTCTGATTATAAAGTTTATAATCAGACGTCAGAAGTTCGAGCAACGTGTGTACAAAAACTTGGAAACGAGATGAGTTCCTTGGTGCAGTCTGTGCAGCAGTTTTAAATATTCTCCCGCAAAAAAACCCTTTTTTTAACATCACCGAATTTGTTCCAATTTTTTTTTTCGACATTTGATGTGAAAAAAAGGATTTTTTTTACCGGAAAATATTCTCGCGCTTAAGAAACATGTCTTCAACACAATTTAATTCAATTTTTTTAATCCTGGTTTTCTACCACATAAATNTTTGTTACCAAGGCTCCCATCCTTTCTGGACCCAGTTTTTCCTTAACTCCATCCGGGACAATCATGAGGAACACGGGATCAAATAACTCTCTCCTTCCCTCTTCAGTGTAACTGAATGGAGTCATTTTGTGACCATGGTCAGAAAAAATCACAGTCAAGGTGTTTGGTAACGAGGCCATATCCGTGAAAAACTTTGCCATACCGGCATCCATGTTGATCATCCGCGTCCCGGTCATCTCATGTCCCGTGTTGAAATGCATGTACGACACCAATGGTTTGGCTTTTCTGTTGTTTTCTAAGGCAGTATACACCTTTCTTATGTGGTCAAAGAAGTACCAGCTGTAAAACTGCCCATTGAGACAAATTTTGTGAGGACTGTCATAATGATTGGTCCTTCCAATTCTGGCCAAGACGGTGCAGGAAAAATGTGTAATCCCGACAAGATCAACCATCTTTTGTGCCCTCTTTTCCTCGAATTCTTTCCACCTGATTTGAAATAGTTCAGACTTAATTACCTCTCACACGAATTAAAAACAACATTAACAGGAAAAAAAGTGCAAGTTAAAGTTAAGACACAATTCTTCACCAATTCTGTACTCCTTGACATTATTGTACAGATTTTGCGGGCTGGAATTTTCCACATCCTTTATACTTTTAATGGAACTCTTGTTTGTTGCTCATTAGACTTGAAATTGAAAGATCACGGCTGGGTTGTTCAAAGCTGAGTTAACATAACCCATGGTAGTGAAAGCTTGACAAGAAAATTCAGTATAGTTATTTTTGTCTACAATTTGGTGATTGGATGCTCTAAAACGAATAGAGAAAGTTATTCCAAAACAAAGGAAACAAGACACCCAGATCAAAATTTTAACCTGCTAAATCTGCTTTGGAACAACTGGGCTTGGCAGGGTGGAAGCTTAACTTGGATGGAGATGTTGTGATTTTGGGCAAAATACTTTATTCTCACGTTGTTTTTCTTCTTCCTGTCATTCAATTAGGTAAGAAACTGTCAACGGAACCAGCTGGGATTTACCTATAATAGACTTAAGGCTCATCCGTGGAAAGAAGGCAATAGTTAGTGATGCTTCATGCTAAGGACACAGAGTTCAGCTTCCGTAGCTTGGGCCACTTGGCTGGTGGGACTAAACCTATGATTCTAAAAACAACTCACCTCGCTTGGTATTCAGAATTTGTTTTAGGCATAGTCCTCCTTTCGATATCTGTTAACACACTTCCCCATACATCGTACCAACAAAGGTCCTCTTGAAAGAGCGTCTGGTAGCCCCATTTTTTGAAGGCCCCATATAGAACTTCCACACCCAAAGGAGCCTTTGTATTCTTTCCAGAGGCACTTACTTCATTGTCATCTGATAAGTTCACATACAATTTATTAGTAGTTGTAGTAATAGAAATGGTAGTGGCAGAAGTGGTAGTGATATAGGAGATATAATACAAGTAATTTCTATTTATCCCTGGTCAGTTTCAGCCAGGTGTGAGACAAGAAACAATACAACGTACACATGCAATACCAATCAATAGAAGTTTCTGTACAGCTGCCCCCTTCAACAAGACATTCTATCTACCAAAATTAAGTCTAATTATTTTGCAACTAGTGTTGACATCAAAGGGTTTATGTCCAGGAGTAATAGTTGATCAGGTAGTATGAAAGTCTAGGTGAAGAGACCCTGAAAAGATTACCTGGTCAGCCCTGACTTCATAATCAACAACTATTCTGTGTTTACATGGATGAGATATGTACCCATGTTCACATTTCTTCCTCTCTCCCCATTTCAGTGATGTCTGGTGTTGGTTTTGGTGTTAACAAAATGGTCACCACTAGGCAACATCGTTTGGAGGGAGAGGAGGACTGGGGGAAATACAAGACTTCTTTTTCTTATTTTGAGTGGAGGAGCGTCAACCAACAACTAAGGGGAAGCATGCCAACTACTTTTACCACTCATTGTACAATGACTTTGTTCCCTCTTCTGGCCACCACTTGAAGCCTGATCACACAGGGCTCAAAATTGCGACCGATACGGTCGTCAATGCGACTAAAACTTTTAACTTGGCGACTAAAAGTTCGAGTTTAGTCGCCACTTTGGCGACTAAATTAACTTCCTCTGATAAATAAAAGATTGTAGATAAGAAAAATGTCTGAAGTCTCGTTTCTGCGTTTCTGCTTTTCTGCCGAAGGAAATGCAAATAAAGTCTGTTTACCTTTAAGCTAAAACTTGAAATGGCTTTCAAATTGCGTCTTCCGAGACGACATATTACAGTGGCTCCTTCATGGTGATCGCGGGCGCAATATTTTGTTGAAAAGCTTCTGAATTTAAAATGAATCCTTTGAGAACAGGAGGTCTGGTACTACATGCCTCTCCGCTATGTTTGATAAATGTTTGATGCCTTCGTATCGTACGATTTCTTGCATGCGATGTGACATATTTTCCCTGCTAAAGTAGCTCTGAAATGTTCTTATTACTTTTTTCGCTTACTGCTTAAGGTAAGATTGTCATGCAAAAGTCTTTCGGAGTTTCTTCTTTTGTGTTTTCATGTTTTATGTCATTCAAGATTGAGTATTTCGGTCTACCCCACAATCGCAGCCACAATCCACCAGAAGCTAAACAACAACGCCAATTGAATAAGGCTCTAATCTGATTTCTGTTCTTGTACTATCTGGCGACTGCATTTTTGCACTTGGCGACCATTTTTCCTCTGATAGTCGCCAAAAGGCGACTTGGAAGTTTTTTTTTAATTTCGAGCCCCGTCACAGTAAGAAGCACAGTACAATTATAAATGAATTCACAGCTAAGGAAAAACAATTTTGTCAACGCACCTTTCAGAACACCACAGAAAAATGGTCTTAAGTTTTCAAAGGTCTGTTGGCCAATGCTCTGAGCAAGTTCAAAGTCAAGGGAGGTGGCCTTGATTGTAGAATCTTC